CGCTCCCAGCCGGTCGATCTGAACAGCTTGCAAGCTGCAAGCTGCAACGCAGCTCTTTTTCTTCTTATTCGCTGGCCGTGTACACGTACAGCAGCTCGTGTTCGCTTCTGAGTTAAACGCGGATCTAAATACGAAACGTGCGATACTCTTACTCTTGGAGACCGTGGGATCTGAACGATTCGAGATACTCAACAATGCGTATACTCGTGTATTGCAAGATTTTATAGAAACGAAACGCATCTGATAATCTTTTATTGGAATAAAAACAATCGTTCTGCATCTTTTAGAATTTTTAGAACCTTTCTAAAGGTTGTAATTGGGTATAAAGCAATTAGAACAGACTCGTTAGGAATGTGTGAAACGCAAGGTATAATAGACGGTAGTAAGTGGCTCGTAGATATATAGGGTGATACGCAAGGTTGGAATATTAGAATTCTTTTATCGGGCGACTGAAAGTTTGTTCGAATTTTCCGATACGGCTAATTGGCTTGTAACACGAGACGGATCCACGCGTATTCTTCACATTGCTTCCATAAGACGAAGCAAGCTTTTAGACTCGACGCGGCGAATAATTCGTTCAATGTTATCAGGAAAGGGATGTTTCAACCGCATTGCGGTTAGCTCGACTACTATCTGAATCAACGACACGTCACGCGCTGGAACTATTATACGTCTCGTAATATTAAAAATGCAATATGACGAATATACAGGGTGTATCGTGATAAGTTCGTACGAATATATGTCCTATCTGACCTCGTTTCGAGGTTACATTTTTGCGCTTCGGTAATCCGCAACTTAGCTATTTCGAGAACCTCCTACGAAGATAAAACAGGACGTAGGTTCGTACGAACTTTTTTCATTGTTCTTGCGCCACCTGTCCGCTCTTGAAGCGGGTACACCTTGTACCTTTCGTCTCTTTCGTGAACCTGTTGAAAAATCGCACAGGGATTCTTAGTTAGCAGCGTGTCTTTATAGACAGATTTACGTTCGCGAATACGTTCAATTATAATCTGGCTAGATCGTTGAAAATTCATCTGAATTTCAACGTACGCGTATCGCGTTACAAGAAAATTACAAGGTGCTGACAGAATTTTAGAATGGGAACGAATGTTGCGGTAAAATACTTGTTAAACAAAGATAGTCGAATAGTAGGAAAATAACAATTGGATCGATACTTGGTATAGATACACGCTTTGTTCTTCTTCATTTATCTATTTATATATATATGCGTGTGTGTGTGTGTCTTTGGTTGCTATCGATCTTCCGATTATGTTGTGAACGGTGGTTTCAATTACATCGACCCGTTTGACTAATGGAATTTTCGTCCAAGTTTCTCAAAGAGTCAATATTTACAATACGATCGAATGGTGATACGCGAGCATCACCCGGTATATGGCGTCAGCATTGTCCGTCTGAAGAGGTGCACGTGTCCTCATTAACGGGCGTACGTTTCACCGAGTTAGGGTAGAACTTTAGCGAGCGTTCGGAATTCTCTATTCGTCTCGCTGTATACTGTTAATTGCATTTGCACCGATCGACTTTCCACCCCTTTTTTTCGTTCCAAACGCTCTTTTCGTCGCCTGCTTCTGGCTCTTCCTTTCTTCCTTTTCTTCCGTATCGTTCGTACGTATCAAACAGAGCGTAGAAAAATTATATTTCGGAAGTTAAAACACCCAAAGGCGTCGACGTTTCACCTTGATTCGTCGATAGTTTGATAAAGTTTTAACGGAAATTTTAAGCTACCGTCAGAGGCAGCTAAAGATTTCTCCTGTAGCGTCCTTGACACCTTCGATTCCGCAACTTTCCTCAATTTCTCGAATGTTCGATGATCTAGGCTAAAGAAATTACGGAAAATCGTGGAGTCGGAGGCGTCAAGGACACCGCAAGAGAAATTTTTAATCATCTCTGATAGGAATTTAATATTTCGTTTGGAACTTGCAATGGTCGGGTTCGATGTCGCTTGGCGATGATTCCAAGGTCGTTCGAAGGTCAAAACATACATACGATACGCACACGACTTTTAACGCGTCAAAACATCGTAACATAATCTAGTTTAACTTTCTTTAGAAAAATGTCTTTAGTTGGAATTCTGAAAAGAAAAGAGGCTGTTATTCGTAAGAAATGTTGAAGCGTGCTGCAAGAACGTAAACTACAGTTCCTGTGGATCCTCTCGAGTACGCCCAACTAATTTCACATTCTCGAAAGCGACTTGTTCAGTCGTGGAACTGCGCGTAACAGAGCACGGTTGTAATAGACGAGGGGATCTTTTTTTTTTTTTTTCTTTCTTTTCTTTTCTTTCTTTCTCTCGAATCCCTCGATGGTCTTAATAAAGAGCAAAGCGAGTTTTCTCTAGTAAGAAACTTAGCTAACGATCCCCGGTTGACCTCCATTACGACTGGCGACCTTTGCACCGCGTCGACGGAAAGCTGGGTCAGAAAGGCGGATGAAAGCGCTGAATGGCGACGCGACCCTCGATTCCAGCGGGCTCCTCCTTGAATTAACGAAGGAACGAACGCATACGCTCCTCGTGCGCGATACTGTCACCATATAAAGAATCCTCGTTCGTCTGGGCGGAAATGAGTACCGTCGTTAGGCTTGTCCGAAACTTCACGATCGGAACAACTGTGTCCTTGCAGCAAGTGGATCATATACGTCTTCTCGTCTTTGATTTTTCCAATTTTTATACTCTCTGGTTGCTTCTTCCGTTTAGGCGTTGCGAGTGAAAAATTATATTTTATATTTTTCACTTACTTTTGCGCGTACAATCATTTCCAAACCCATTATACCATATTGTACAGGGCATCCTGTAGGTATATCCAGTGACGTAAAAATTGCCATTATCTCCTCCATTTATGAATTCTGCTAATGCTCAACTGGATCGTACGATAGGGCGACGCGTTAGCGATATCTTATCAGCCGATATCGGTCTGGTTTTTTAAAAGTCTCTCTCGTTTCTTTATTTTTTAAATATATTTACAGATGGATTCGCTCGATTTGCTTAACGCAGGTTTCTATTATCGTGATTTTTACTCGATTCTTTATCGTAGATTATCGATCAATGGTCCGAGAACAGAGTCACGGTCAGGTTGATATCGATCGACGATACTTTGATCCCTATATAACATTACTATAATATTCGCAGTCGTTTTCCAACCAGAATGTTACGCAACCAGCATGAATAAATATCTGAACCTGGGGGCAAAACACGCGGAGCTCAGAAATCATTATGATTTCAAGCGTTGAAGTAACACGGTTCAAAGAGTCGAACGTATACTACACCTGATAGGAAAAATAGAAAAATTCTCTATTGCGATAAGAGAGTCGTAAATTGGACACGATGGGTTCTACGGGGAACGTCTTGGGTACAATAGATACGGAATGGCGATAGTACAGTGGATTCCTTTGATTCTATATTTGTATGTTGAAAATGAAATCTTTGTTGCGTATCGTAGCCCAGAAAGAAAACGGATAGTTCAATTTACGATAACATTCGCGATACTCGGTTCATTGTACACGGACGTTTCTTTATTCCAAGTGCAAGAATTCTACGTTATTCCAAGTTATACAGGGTGGTTGGTAACTGGTGGTATAAGCGGAAAAGGGGTGATTCTACGTGAAAAAAGAAGTCGAAAATATAGAATAAAAGTCTTCTTTTTTAATTCTTTTTCCTTTTTTTTTTCAATTTTTCCATCGAGGCAACGATCTACAGTGAGATCCGTTATAACGTACCGCGCGCGTACCGAGCGAAAATTCAAAGTCGATTTTCTCGAAAACAAAGCCTCGAACGAAAAATTTGTATTCTATATTTTCGACTTCTTTTTTCACGTAGAATCACCCCCTTTCCGCTTGTACCACCAGTTACCAACCAGCCTGTATAACCATGATGCGGCCAAAAATACAGCGATACTTTATCTACATGAACCTGGTGCAAGTAATTCGTATAATCGGAGTTTGTTTAACCTACTATCTATGATCTTTCTTCGTACAATAGGAATTGCATTAGTAAGTGGAACCAGTATTAGGGGCTGTTACGTATTTGCTATACACGAGAAATTAGTCGAATAATATTTCCTTTGCCATCTTGTATACGAATCTCCGAGTTGGATCAACGAATTGGCAAATTTGTAAGTTACCACATTTCCCAGTTAATAAGAAACTAACTTAACAAGTTAACGAGCTACCTCTAGGTTGAATTAATAAGTTAGTAACTTGATATCGGATTGGCTGTTGAACGAATCTCTTACCTTTGAAAATGAGGGAAAGATCGATATCTCGTCGTCGAGTCGTTAAATCTTGATACCTCTAATAAGAACCGATAGACAAAGCTTCTAAAAGCCAATAGCAGTCGTATAAATTTATTCGAACATCGATCGGAGGCTATTCGCGCACGATTCGTAATTTCGTCAGCGTGTCGCGACCCATTTCGAACAGAGAAACCTCCGGCAGATGTACGACGGTTATTGCATACCCAGAACCAGCCGTGCCACTCGACGAACTCGCGGATATCGAATGTTTGGCGATGATTTACCGCAAACACGCGGCCCCTATCGATCATACACCGTTCCCATGGAGCGCGGTCACCTACACGGATTTTATTTTCGCGCTCCAATCAACCGGTGAAAGTCACGAAATTCTCATGCGACTCCCTGCATCGCGAACCTCGCTCTTCTTCTCGATACCTTTACGGCAGATACTCCGGTGTCGTACGATTAAAATATCGATCAGCGGTCGTGTTACGATGCAAAAACTTTGTTGCTACGCTTTTGGTCCACCTTTTGGCCAGTTTCTTTTTATCGTTAAAAAATATTGTAGCTTTTTGGAAAATATGATCGTTAGAATCGTTGTTAATACACGCGAAGAAAGTCTACTCGAAGATCTGCGTCGAGACAGGAACGCAAAAGTGAAATATGAGAATTCAAAGGCTGCGAAATCGAAGGAAATAAATTTAGGTATCGAAGGGAGCGAAAGTGAGGTATATACAGGAAAATAATGGGAGAAACTTTGATTCTATAATACGTAATTTATTAGACAAATGCGCATCTTCCATTTGATACTTGGTATCTTTTAATTTCCTTAGGTACACGTGCACTGAAATAGACAACCAGTCAAAAATTGCCAACTAATTTATTAATTGCGTACACCTGTATTTCAAATATTTGAACTAATACTGGTGATGTCGATGGAAATTTCCTTTAGACCGATAGATCTTTGGTTACAGAATTTTCTAAAATGATAGAAATCCAATTTATCTTCTTTTTTTCTTCTTAAGTGGTCGGAATCTATAGAAAACATAGCGTAATTGCAAGTTTTCACCGATGGTAACAAAGTTTCGCTGACAATTAGATCGGTACATAATTCGCCATACGCAAATACATATATCGGTCGAATATAAAGTAAGCTCGCTAAAAGTTCCTAACTTAGAAGCTCGTAAATAACCATGTGGCCGAGTAAAAAATAAGCGAGAGATACTAAATCGTATCGGCATATTCTTCTACTTATTTTTGACTAGTAATTAAGTATTTCGCGAGGTTCATTATCGCTCGTGTTTATGGAACGTGTTTATACCATCTATGGTTTGTACTGTCCGTATGAGTTGCCCGACAACGATAACGATAAGTAGATAAGAAATAATGAAATACTGAAATATCGATCACACGTACAATTGCTAATTACTTATAAATATTTCATGGGCGTTTATCGTAATTATTAGAATGTAAATGGATGAACTATCGAACAAGTAGATCGTACTTGGGCATTTTCAAATTAACTCGATTATTTATCTATCTCTAATAAATAAGTAATTAAACGGAACATTCGTAATTAACAAATTATAAAATTAATTACAGTTGACGATTGAATTATTATGATGTATACAACATAAGACGTAAAAAAATTACAAATTTGTTTAAAAATGTTCGATATCTTGGTCTCTACGAGATGAACAAACGAAATTCACGATTAGGAACTAAGAGAATTATAGTTAAAAGGAAAATACAATTAAATTATTTTTCGCTGAGATATTTATCAAATATTTCCTTGTTTTTACCTGACACCGTTTTATAAGAAGGATGAAACGAGAAATGGAAGAAACCCTGGTATTAGTTTGATCGATCACGATATCGCCGATGTCTTTTATCTACGTTTTCTCGCGATTACTCGATTCCAGGCATCCCAGATTTCGTCGAAAAGTTCTTCCACGAAGAATCATCGAGGAAGTATCTTCGCACTAGTCAGTTTTACGCAAACGTTCGATCCACGATCAGATCATCCTCCTAAATGTTTTAACAGTTCCAACTCCGTCCACGTGTAGGAACTTTAAATCAGACATAGATCGCGAGAATTTAACACAGCATTTCTTACATTTTCCCCGTTTTTTTAATTTTTTCTTCAACGTGGTTCGACTATTGAAATCAGTATTTCACGATTTTAAGTCAAACTTCGTCTTTTCCAAATGCGTATCGTGAAGATCGAAATCGAACAATTTCGGTACTAGTCAAAATAGGAATTCAAGACTCAGGTGATTAATTACTACGATAAATCTACCACTATCGATCGAGCATGCACCTCTCTGGTTAAGAACCATTCGGTTGGGTTCTGATTTAGAATGCTCTCCTAGAATCGTACAATTTTCCCGTTGTTTGTCACATTTTCTCCTTTATTTCACCTCGATTTTCGTTTTCGTTTTATTCGGCACGATCCTCACGGAGGACACTCCATTCAAAGTCCTGGTGGACGCTTCCGGATTCGTGTACCACTTTTTCACGATCTTTTCATCGTATACAAAAGTCGTAACGATCTTAGTCCTCGTCGATCTTCCCTTCTTCTCCTCCTTACCACCCAAATCGTCTCGTCTCTCTTTTCTTCTATTCTTTTTCTTTTCCTCGTTCTCCGCCTGCGAATTCTCTTTCTTCAGGGCATCCTCGCTTTCCTCGGACCTCTTCCTTCCTTCGTCCATTCCTTTTCCCGTCTCCTCTTTCGAAACTTCCGACTTCCGATTCCTCATCCTCAACTCAACGTCGAACTTTATTCTACCGCCATCGCCGTGATACTTTACTTTATCCTTGATCGATTTTGGACCCAAAAGAACCTGCCCACCATCCCCCGTGTACTCCACGTCTCCCATGTTCTGGTCGATCCTCAATCGACAACCGTCGCCGATTACTTTCACGCTACCTCGGTTCTTCGACATCGAAATGTCGCATCCGTCGCCGGTGATCTCGAGGATCTGCTTGTTGGAACATAGATTCACCGAGAGACCATCGCCAGCGATCTTCCTCACCTCTCCTTCCTTCATTCCCATGTTTTTCGAACGATGATCGTCTATTTTTACGGTCTTTCTCGTGATCCGGTATCGAGTGTAATCGTAGAGGTGTTTCTGTAAAACGAAACGTCCGAGGAGCGTCTTATGCAACGCTCGCGGAGATCGATTTTCCGGAGTTGTTATTCCTCCTTCGTCCAGTTGAGTCTTTAATCGCCAGTGGTTTCGTCGTTTTTACCTGGCTTCTTCGTTCTTGGCAAATTCACTCGATAATCGGCTAGACGAATCAGGCTCTGTCTTTCTTCTCCATGTTCGCCAGGAGGATCGTCGTCAGGTTTAACAGCCTGGTGCTGCGGTTCGACGAGGTGAGTGCTTTCACTCAGGTTTCTTTGATTTTACGATCACTTGGATCAGAAATTTTCCGACGATGTTCTGATCTTATTTATAACTTATACGTGGTATATTTGATATATTTGATCGTTGGGCGATAATATTTAAGCATTATCGTATATAATACTTCGTATAATACCTAGGTATCGCAATTTTCGTGGCGATATTTAATCAACTCGAGAATTTTTGGAGAAATATTCCGAGTATCGCACTTTCGAAAGATAGATTTCGATGGAATAACGATTGCGACGATAGGCTTTGGTTGCAGGATAAAGCGATTTTCTATTATCTTTGGTATTTTCTTCGTTAGCTATCTTCGAGTTCTGGAAAATATGAAATATTTAGATTAGCTTCGCGTAAATATTCAGGCCAAAATTGCCGCGAAGGAATCTTTCCTAACAAACGATAATTTCAAGATTAGACCAAAGCATTTCGAACATTCGAGATATAGATTCTTTTTCGTAACTAACCGGAGAAGCGTTCGATCGGGTGCCAAGCATTAAGTTTGTTAAATCGATACGAGACTCACCTTGATCTTCCTTATCGAGATTCTTCACTTTCTCCTTGGATCGCACATATTTATCATGTATATTTGATACTGGCACTATCCCGCTATCTTTTCTGTAGTAGAATCACTTCGTCAAACTCGCCAAACCTGTTGTTTTCTCTTCGCCAAGATACAGCAGTTGGCTTTCATACTTCGTTACACTTCTACGTCACCGTTCCAAATACTGCTTTAGGAAATCGATATACACTGTTCTTCCGTCAACTTTCTTTAGTCGAAAAGGACGCACGTCGAAAGAAATTTATTCGACCATTTAATTAACCAACTAATTAACAAAAATGTCACTTTTCTTCTTCTCCCTCGTCTATCGATTTTCTTCTTTCTCGACGCGTTAAGAAATTTGTTCGGCCCTTGATCGAGCGCCCAACTACAGACCGGTTAGCTGGTTGAACAAAAAGACAGAGAACTCGCGCTTCTCTGTCGATTTTATCAAAAATGGACACGTCGAAGTATTCGTTCGACCAACGAACCAACCACACAGATCGATGAATTAGCTATAGAATATTAACCACTGAAAGGACGCAACGAGAGGCGGAATAAATTACCAAGTGGTAAGACGGTGTGAGGAGCGTGGTGCCGTGGATCCAACGTGGGATCGAGTGGTTGTTGGTTTGTTGAGTAGTCGAACGAGACAGCCAGCAGCAATAGCGTAGCTGCGCCGTAATAATGGTTGGCGCGGCACGAACCGGGGTTCCTTGTCGGCCAATCCGGCCTCGCCGCTTTCGGGACTTCACCGAGACCTTCTAGCTAGCCGCCACTGGCACGA